GTCTGTTACTGTAAAAATGTTACTGGCTACAGGTTTGTAGCACTTAAGATAATTATAATATATTATGGAATGTATAAATATGATTGTTTTTCATGAGTATTTAAAACAATTTAAGTAGTTAATGACTAGTGTGTATGTAAGCAGTGATCATCATTATGTCTTGATCACTGAAGAAGAAAATAAACTCACCAGTGAAGAATATTCTGGTGCTGTTGCTGAGTTTTGGAGGTGTTTCTGTGTTCATACAGTAATAAACTCCTAATTCATCAGCAGTTACATTATTTGTAACCAGACGATGTTTAAACTGCACTGAATATTTCTTTCTGAATGATTTATTAGGGTAAAAAGATGAAGTTGAGAATGATCGTAGAATGACTGTCGGAGGATCTGATGATTTCAGTAAAATCCAATAAACCTCATTTTCATCAAGATCACAGTTTATGCTCACATTTGATCCCAAATCAGTCAGTAGATCTGACACTGCATACTGACAACAGATTAATACATCTATAAGATAAAAAATAAATAACCCTGTGTCATGCATAGCATAAAACTATAATTTTAATAGTTATAAAGCATGTAAATATACTGATATCATGTAATAAACTCACAGAGCTGAAGCTGAATGATCTTCATCTTGTTGTCGTGGATTAAGACACTTCAGAATAAAATCTGCTTTCCTCCAAACAACACTGAAGATGAATCTACTGCAGCTCTAAAGCAAAGACATGAAGAGAAAAAAAACAAAAAAAAACTTCCCACATCAAGAGGAAGTCAAAGTCAAATCTGCTCTGCTCTCAACACCTAATTCCCCCTCACCATCATCACTTCATTAAGTTTAACACGTTTGATATTTCTCAAATATTTGGTATATTTCTCAGATTATGTCTGAAATTCTGAAATTCTCATCTATTCAGGACACTCATGTAGTGTGTGTTTGAAGGCTGGTATCTGGGTCCTGACACTCTTGTCTGGTTTGGTTTCAGTTTAATCTGGTTGCTAATGCTCTATGTTATGTTTTGTTTTGTCTTTTGTTGTGAGCACATGGTTAAGTTCTGATGCTCTTGCGCCAACTGGAGGCAATGGACTGGGGTCTCATGGGCACTCTGACCTGTTTGTTGTCAGGTGTTGTGACACCTTTGACCTTTCTACCATTGCCAGCATTATGTTTTTCAGCAATTTAAGCTAATCTGTGTGGAGAGAAGGACTACTGATTCAATTACAAAATATGGGTATTGGCGGAAGGATGTACAACTGGATTTTAGACTTCTTATCAAATCGGACATTTCATGTTAAAGTTGGAGATGATGTTTCAAACGATTTTAATATAGTAAATGGTATTCCGCAAGGTAGTGCTATTAGTCCAATTCTGTTTAACGTAATGATAAATGGCATCTTTGAGAATGTTGGTACAATTATTGGGTATTCATTATATGCAGATGGGGCTATATGGAAAAGATGGAAAAAATATTAGACATAAAATGAGTAATATTCAGAATGCTTAATGCTATAATAATAAACTATAATTAAAATTAAGAGGTGGACATATGACTGTGAATTTAAGATGTCAGTTATTAAATCATGTTACATGCTTTTTATTTGAAAAATTAAATGAGAAAATATACAGTTTAAATTACATGGTCAAAGTATGGAAAGGGTAACAACGTTCAAATATTTATAATGATGGTTTGATGAGAAATGTGTATGGAGAACACATGTTAAAAATATTGAAAATAAATGTAATAAAGTACTAAACCTTATGAGATCAGTTTCAGGGTATGACTGGGGTGGAGATAAACAGTCATTACTTGATATATACAAGGCCTTAAAATACAATCATGTTTTATATATATGGAGCAGCAGCTAAGAGTGTGCTGGAAAAACTAGACAGAATATAGTTCAGAGCTCTTAGACTTAGTGTTGGTGCTAATAAAACAACTCCTACTAATGCTTTACTTGTAGAAACTAAAGAACTACCACTTAAGACTAGTAAAGCTGTCACTAACATACTGGGTTAAGTTAAAAGGATCTGGGAAAGATCAGCCTGCTGCAGAGGTCTTATGTGATTGCTGGGACTATTCACAAGAACGAAAAGGTAAAGGATTCGGCTGGAATATTAATACAGTAGCCAAAGATTATGGTTTAAAGAGACTTGTGTATGGTCCAAATACGGTATGGGGTAATGTTCCTCCATGGATATTTCCAGTTTCAGTACCAGTATTTTGGGGACACATGAGAAAATGTGGGAATTTAGTAAGGCTGTCATGAATTTTCTTAAAGATACATGGTTTGAGCACAGAATATAGATTTTTTTTTGGATTATGTAAAGTAGGCTACATGAAGCCCTGAAGTTGCACACCCCGGTACAGTAGGTGGCGGTATGCATCTGAACACGTTAGTTGCGACCCACCATTAAAACCAGAAAGAAAGAGAGCGAGAGAGAGAGAGATTTGCTTGATTTTAGCCTTAATACTTTGATGCACAAAATGGGTCTAAAGTGACTTTTATATTTTCTATATCTTTGCAATAAATTAATTTCATCATTCAGTATTCCAGGAATTCCTCAATTAACTTGCTTTTGATCATCATAAATCCTTATTTTCATTTTTCCTTTCTTACTTTTTTAATAAAAACTTTTTTGTATCACTACCCTGATCTTTGATCATATTTAAGTACAAAACTTTTATCAAGGTTGGAGCAAAACTCTGCAGGACTGTGGCACTTCAGGACCGACGCTGACCATCCCTGGCCTACAACTTCACTTCATTTTCTTTTATTCAGTCATATTCACTATAATTCACTACAGTTGAAGACAATTTCAGTATTATCGGTTATCATTGATATGTGTATGTTATATGTGACAAAGTGGCAAATAAACATTTCAAGTGTTAAATGTGTTGAACTAAATAACTACTAAAATAATTATTAAAAAAAAAAAAAAATCTTTATTCTTTTGTTCTATCAAGCTTACATAGATGGGTCATTTTTGACCCATGTGTTTAAACTTGATGTAGTAACACAAAACCTGAAAAAATTAAATATTTTGTGGTCATTGGAAAAAAAATATTTTGAATATTCATGGATCATGGAATTTATAGATCAGGGAATATTAAGTGCTGAAATAAACTGCTTTCAAAAGATCAAAACAATGAACAAAAACAAAGAACAAAAAATGCCCAAAGAAGTATAAAATAACATAGGAAATGAATACGGGTCATTTTAGACCTGTGTTGTGCATTAGAAGGGGTTTGCATAGCTTGAGCATTAAAGGTTTAAAAATTCGAAAGTTACTTAAAAAATATATAACCTGAAGTTAGAGCAGGTTTCTGTGGTTCGATATTTGTGATTATGGATGGATACTAAGTTGACATTTGGAGTTCATATTAAAAAAAATAATTGACAAATGCAAGAAGGGCATTAATATATTAAGGTGTTTGGCTGGAACAGAATGGGGAGCTAGTCGACAATCTCTTTGGAGATTATATTGTGCTCTGATATGATCAACAATGGTAGTTTTGTACATTGCTCCGCATCAATGTCTTTGAGGAAAAAAGTAGAAATAGGGAAAATGCCATTAGAATTTAGAAGAATGCAATTAAGAATGGTATATTGTATTTCAATTAAAGGTCATGGAGAAATGCACCCAGTTAAAAAACGTCCTGGAAAAATGTTGGGAATATGAATATTCAAAGGTGGAAAGCTATGGCTGGATAGCAGATAAAGAGGCACAGCGAATGTGCATAAGTGAAATTACCAACGGTAATATTACCTACTGTCCCTACATGGCTGTATATGTTACCATTAGTTGATCTTCAGGTGAAAAATATAATTCTGGAAAAACAAAAATATATGTCAAAGGAGTTGGCGAGACAATATGGACATGGAATATAATCATTGTTTACAAACAGAGATGGCTCAAAAGATCCAGCATTGAGTAGAACAGCTTCAGCTGTTGTCGTTCTGGAGTTAAATTATACAATAAGTAAAAGGATCACAGATAATTGATCGGTTTATACAGCAGAGATGATTGCAATTATGTTAGCAGTTCAGTGGGTGGAGAACTTGAATCATAAAAATGTGGTAATATGCTCAGAGTCATATTCTGTGTTAACAAGTATTATGTATGGCAAATCCACATCCAGACAATATATACTAATAGAAATCCTTCACTCGACATAGATGACAAAGTCAAGGAACAAATATTTATTTTGTATGGGTACCGGCTCATGTTGGGGTGGAAGGAAACGAAAAAGCATATATTTTAGCTAAGAAGACCTTAAAAAATACAGAAATAGGACTAAGTACTACTCCATTAAGCAAATTTGAAGTTAAAGGAATAATCAAAAGAGCAATAAAAGGTTTCTGGCAAGTGAGCTGGGATAAGGAAGGAAAGGGAAGACACTTGTACAGAATTCAAAGAGAAGTAGGTCATAAAAGAGAGGTTTGTGGAAATAGAAGGGAAGACGTGGTTATTTCACGTCTCCGTATGCTCTCAACCATTCTTTAAGTATTATTAAGAAACATGAGTCAGGTTTATGTAATAATTGTAAAAAAACCCAAAGACAATAGATCATGATCTGTTAGAATGCACCTGATATAAAAATAAAGGTTAATACTAGAAAATCAAACCAAGTCAATAGGTAAGTGGTTTGTCAATTCAGAATTTATTAAGAAATTCATCACAAGTTTTCAAGATAATATTATAATTTATAGAGGTCACAAATAAAAAAAATAAAAAAATAAATAAAAAAT